AACCTATACAGACACCTCAGCACCTTATTAGTATTGGATCTGGCATGAAGTAACACCCTTTCAGTGTATTTTTGTTAATGTAATTGAATTGGATTTGAATTTATTTGCTTATCCAGATTTCACAAAACCAGAGAACAGTGCCTACGTTACATTACAGTCTGAAATGAAAATTGTGACATGCAGGTTTAGTTATTGTAGCTATGAGACAACACACAGTACAGAGCAATAGTCTGTGTATTCTAAACTATGTTCTAATGCATTAAAATGTTCAAGCATCTCTAAACATTGTTTATTAATAAAAAGTTTTTACACTTGTTATAAAAATGGAAAACAAAATCTGAGACACTTCCATTTTGTCCCTACACTTTAACTCCTCAGTCTCATATCCCATTTAATCTTTCTTCTTCATATACATTTAATGATCCTGATTAATTTCCTCTTTGCCTTAAGCCATACAGTTGTTATATAGAATATGGCAAAGAGAAAAAATGCCTTAATATTGCCTCCATGCTTTTCGAAGACATCAACATACAGTATATGTCATCCATTCTGTTCACCACCGTGTCACACTTGGAGGAGTTTATAGCAAAGATATTCATCATCTGTCTCATTCCCAGTCTGATGTAACGTCCCTTGCTATATTATTCCTTCTCTAACACAGTCTGTCATCTCTTTGTCTACCTGCTCTGTCTTCAGGTCTGCAGATGAAACTGACAAATTGTTCCATCGTCACCTGTCTGCTTTCTCTGTCCTGCCACTGCATTTAATTGTGCTTAAGCTCAAATTAAATGTATACCCTGTTCTCTCCTCTTGTTTCTTTCTGCCATGTTCTGTTTTTGTGTGGACTTCATGCTGCCCCCACCACCTCCTTGTCAAATCCCTAGTGTGTTCAGTGTGACTCTAAAGGCACTAAGACTCAGAAGAAGGTAGATCAGCTTTACTCACAGAGCTACACATGTCCTCCTGGACACTGGAAACCTCAGTTTTGCTCTGTTTCTGCACTTAACCAGACTAATATAATCTAATGGTAGAATTTACACTCTTAGAACAGCTCAAGGAAAAACAAAAAACAGCTGTGCTTTCCTTAAAATAGTAGAAATTTCAAACAGAAATCTGCATCTCGTACAACGTGCCTGGTTGAGTGTGGTGCCAGACTAAATTTCACAGTATGAAGCATGAGGTCTGGCCCTGACTTGGCCTCCTCTGTTCGCCTGTATGTTTATGTTCTGTGTGCTGATGTTGCTTCATGCTGGTGCCGCTCCTTTTTTTTCTCAGATAGAAAACCCTGAGGTGTGGGGTCTAACACAAACAGGAAGTGCCAGCTGATTTGCTCAAAAACTTGTGGTGACCCTGCCAATTAGACCTTCGAACACAGTGGAACAGGCTGTGTTGGCAGAAAAATGTTTTCCAGCCTACTGGCTCTTAAATAGGAGCCAGTAGGCTGATCATATTTCATATTATACACTGGGCTTGTACAGTATATTTCAGCATACTTAATTGTGGATGGAATATTAAATTAACTACTGCTTCATGAGCCAGTAATCTTCACTCATATGAACATACATACCTGTAGTCATTGGTGGAACCTTGAGGGAAATGCATTATTTTAGACTTGCGTTATGGGAAGTAGCAGCTGCTTATTCTAATCTTTCTTTGGACCTTGCTGCTTTGCTGTCCTCTCCTAATGCAGCTGATGCATGGTTTTTGGCTTTGATGTACTGTAACTCTGAGTTCACATTTTGTAGATAAGTGTTTATCAGGGTATTGATATGGGGAACTCCATCCTTTGGAAGGACCTGAGCTTTGTCACCAAAACCACAAGCAGGAACAAGTTTATTGAGGCCTTTTCTCAGGTGGAGCCTTCTCCAGGATGGATAACGAAACACTGCAGGGGAGATCCAAGCTCTAGAGCAGAGGTCACACTTTCATTTTGACAGAGGGGGTCACAAAAATTCCATCATAATTTATAATTGCCAAACTATATATTTTTTATGATTTAGGCATAGCTTTTTAATTGGATTTAATTTTTGTTTATTTTTTCATCATTATTGTATGGAACAAGTTAATATGCAGCCACTTTTCATACGAGCACATGACTTTTTTCCCCCCACAGTGACAGTGGAGGCCACTAAAAACACTGCAGCCATTGGGCATAAATGAGCAAAAAAGAACACTCCAATTTTACAAAATTAGGCAATTACTATTAAAATATTTGGCTAACTGTATTGAACTAAGCTGACCTACTGTAACTTAGCCAGCTACAGAGGTAACTGACAGTGATTTTTCATCTTTGGACAGACAATTTCTCACGTCAGTTCTAATTTAGATCTCAAAGCTGAATCTGCACTCTGCGGCCGCACTGGAGACCGGACTTTCCAGCTCCACTTCAGCCGAAGTTTTGAAGTCCGGGAACATTTCTCATTGGAAGTGTTTAGAAGTTGCTCTAAATGTGAGATTCCCTGATCCTGAAACACTAATTTCTCCAAGAAGAATTTGCAGCATGTGATCCTTCTGTACCAGAGGCACAGCTGCACCCCTCTGTGTCCCGCCAGAGACGCGCTCCCTGTCCTCCAGTCGACGGCTGTTCAATATGCTGTCAACTCCTGGGTAGCGAGATGCGTTGAATATGGTCTCAGTTGTCCTTCATCCACCACATCAGTTCCTCTTACTTCACCTCATTTCCCAACAAAATAGCAATTATTGGGATTTTTAGTGGCCTTACTGTAAGTTAGGGTAAATTGCTCTCTCTTTTCTTATCTGTCAAATTGACAGATGGCCTTCAGAATTTTCTGTCATTGTTATAAAAAAAAATCCATTAAAGGTGGAAAATATTTGGCTAACGTAACCTCTGCTCTGGAGACATTCTCTTTAGCTTTGAGAGGATTGAATATAATGAGCTGCTGTGATATCTTAGTCCATAAAAGATAAAGATTTTGATCATTGTCCCCCATTTCTCAGGCAGAGGAGCGTCATGGCAATGTGGAAGAGAGACTGAGACAGCTGGAGGCCCAGCTGGAGGAGAAGAACCAGGAACTGCTCAGGGTCAGAAATCTGCTATCATTACACAAGAGCTTTTCCTCATGGTTCTTTTGCTTTTGTTATCATGTGTATCATTTTTTACAGAAGTAGATTGGGAGGCAGAGCCTTTAGCTATCAAGTTCCTCTCCTGTGGAACCAGCTCCCAGTCTCAGTTCAGGAGGCAGACACCTTCTCTACCTTTAAGATTAGACTTAAAACTTTTTTTCTTTTTTTTAAGGGCTTATAGTGATGGCTGGACCTTACTTTGTAAAGTGTCCTGAGATGACTTTGTTGTGATTTGGTGCTATATAAATAAAATTGAATTGAATTAAATGCAGTTGTTGTTTGTATAGGCACGGCAGCGAGAGAAGATGAATGAGGAACACAACAAACGCCTGTCTGAGACCGTGGACAAGCTCTTGTCGGAGTCCAACGAGAGACTCCAGCTCCACCTCAAAGAGAGGATGTCTGCTCTGGAGGACAAGGTGAATAATACTGCTGTGGTTACTGGTGTGGTGATTATGGAATCTAGCAGCATGTTTCTCAACTGTGTGTGTCCCATGACTGTTTGGTAATGGCACCACATTTTATGTCATGGAGCATGGTCAGTAGCTCAGCCAGTGTGTCAGCTTGTTTCTCCCTCTCTTCAGAATAACCTGATAAGAGAACTGGAGCACACCAAGAAACTGATTGAGGAGTCTCACCACGAGAAGGTGAGGGATCATTTCAGCGTGTAAAGCTGATTCTTCCCATGTCTGTGTTTTTTGGGGGTTATCTGGGCTTTTTGTGTGTTTTTATTCTTTAAGCCTAGCAGTGGTAGATGTTTCCTTCAGTGCTGCCTTGCTTTTTTCCACTAGATGACAAAGATATCTATAATTTTTTTTTCTTCTTCTACAGGAGCAGCTCCTGATCCAGATTGAGACTATGAGGCCAGAGAACGAGCCGGGTAGGAGCAGGAGCAACTCCTTATTACATGGGTAAGCAGGTTAATTGGCAGAGATCATAATTTCAGCCTCTAACCTCTGAGTCTTTCTGATTTGTTTTCATGTGTCTCTTCCAGACGGCCTCAGCTGGGTAGCTCCCCAGATTTCAGGTATCCAGTGTCGACTTCCTCAGTGGTAGACAGTAACTCGGACCATTACGGCAGCGCTCTCGTGCTGAAACGACCCCAAAAGGGACGAGTGGCGGCGCTCCGGGACGAGCCATCCAAGGTGAGCATACAAACAACTGTCATATAACATTAGAGCCACATGAACAGTGAGCTTTATATTAAAGCTCATTTGTTAGGGATTGCACCAGACAGTTGGTTCAACTTAACTGGGAACTCTGGGCACTATCTTTGTGTCCCTAGTAGCTTCACAGCTTTTGTTCTGTGCCAAAGCTCAGCATAAACAGACTGTTGTGTAGACACAGAACCTCCAGTGCAAATGATGTGTGTCCAGTTTGGGTACTTTTGAAGAGATGATTGAGAAATTCCTATTAGGTGTTGAACTACTTAAAAATTAACACCAATATATGGTTTTCAAAGAGGTCTTGTTATTTTAATGTTGTCCTCCTCCTGTTACTTAAATGCTGTGCCCTTTTCCCTCTCTGTCTGTTTCAAAGATTTGAGTCTTTCTGATGATTTTATTCTTTTCCATTTCTTTCTCTTTGTTTCCTCTCTGGACATCAGCGACATGTAAGTCAGTGTGGTGGAAATAACAGTAGCAGTTTCTTGTCTGTGTTGCATTAATGATAAATACTTGAGAATCCAGCTAACCATTTATTTTTCTGTTACTCATGTGCCGCCTCCAGCTTTCTAGCTTTTTATCTTTTTATTTCTTAAAAAACCCTTTTTTGCTTTCAATATCTGCTTTTCTCAGTACCTTTATTTCTCTGTCCATTGTCTTTTCATTCATCCTTTTATACCCTTGTGCACTAATCCAGGTGCAGACTTTGAATGAGCAGGAGTGGGAGCGCATGCAGCAGGCCAACGTGCTGGCAAACGTGGCCCATGCCTTTGAGAGTGACATGGACGCCTCAGATCTGGAGGAGGATCGAGAGACGATTTTCAGCTCGGTGGACTTGCTGTCCCCTGGTGGCCAGGCTGATGCACAGACCCTCGCCTTAATGCTGCAGGAGCAGCTGGACGCTATCAACAATGAAATTAGGTACCAGCAGCTACATAGCCAGTACATCCACCAAACCAAAGTAAAATGTTGTTGCTTCATGTACCCCAAGGTATTGTCATCATAAGGTGTTGTGTGTTTTTTCAACACTCGTCTAATTGCAACTTTACCTCCTCTCCCTCCTCTTTACCTGTAGAATGATCCAGGAGGAGAAGGAGAGCACTGCTATCCGGGCAGAAGAGATCGAGTGCCGGGTGGGCAGCGGCGACAGCCTGGGAGGACGTTTCCGCTCTCTTAGCTCCATCCCTCCTTCACTGTGTGCTGGCTCTTCGCTGGGTGGTTCTCCCCCAGGCTCCGGTCACTCCACCCCCAGACGCATTCCCCGCAGCCCCAACAGAGAGCTGGACCGAATGGGTGTCATGACCTTGGTATCACTTTTTTGCTTTTATGTCTCCCAGGAGCACATTTAACTGCTGTTTTAAAATGCGTATGAAACGCTTATACTGCTATAGGCCAATAAGTCTCAGTCGAAATAGTTTCATCTTAGCGTTTTGCTTTATCACCTTCTTGTAGTGCAAGTATAAGAGTATATATTTGTCTGTGTACACTTTAACTCTGTTTCTATTTTGATTTTTCCCTTTTTTGTGCTTCTTATTGTTTTGATTTGTGTACTAATATTTTGTGTGTATGTATGAGTGTGTGTAACCATGCCAATATGTAACTGCCCCATAGCAATATTGCTATGATCCCTGCATCATCCAGAGCTCCCTCTCCCAGCAGACTGTAACTTATCTCCCTTATGGTGCAACTGGCTTCAGTCCTCCCCCTCAAGCCTATAACTATGCACCATACCTCCAGGTACTTTCAGATTTCTCCACAGCTCCCTTCCTTCCCTCTCTGGGTGGGTGCAGTCTGCCGCTTCCTCTGCACTCTTATGACATCTTCAGATACACACAGATACTTTTCTACTCATCCTCCCTGTTGTGTGTTAAATGCCGGAACTTTTCCACCAGCAGTGTAATTGTTTATAGAGGGTCTTTCAGTGGCTTTAGATCACAAAGGGAATGATGAGTAAACAGAAGACTGTTCAGCCTTAGTGCTTTGGCAGCACTGTGAAATGGTGTCAGTTCTCCAGTGAGGTACAGGTAGTTTTTACACGTACGCCTGGCTAGTGAGTGTTTAAAAGAGTTATATGTTTATCTGGAATAAACTGTATTATAAAATGAGCTAAGTCCTTCACAGAACAGATTATTAATTTGTAGAAGACTGTAGGATAAAAGATGACATTAGACCTAGGTCATGGTCACATTTAAGCTCTTGTCAGTGGAGTAATGCCCAAAAAACCAAACCGCAGGCCAGTAGATGTTCAGAGTCTTGGTGTTGTGTCCATATTGTGTCCATAGATACATGTGAATATGTGAACAAAGGGTTGAAAGGGACACACCTTTCAGCTAGCGACCAGACTTCCCTTTTATGGCAGATACTAGCAGAACAAAAATGTTGTTGTTTTGCTTTAGAAACTGGAGAGCACACACCCTTTCTGCACCTGTGAACTCCTCCTTCTCACCTGCGTGCCACTGCTGCTCCAGGCTGATTATCTTTGTGAATCACTGGTCTGAGTAAGAGGCTGTCACTAGTATGTTATTCTGTGTTTGGTAATGAATTCTCTGAACCTGCTGCACACTATGACCTATTTTATCAAATCAGAGAGATAAACTGAGCACATTTACCTTCATCTTAGGAACATAGATAAAGGATCCTGCCTCTGTATGTGTAGATTCACTCCAGAGGTTTCCCCACTCTAGGCTCTCACGTCATAGGGCTCCTTTTGTCTCTGTCTCGGGGTGTACTGAGCTGCAGTGCCTGGTTACCATTGACAGTGACTTGCCTCAGTATGTGTGAATGCCCCATTAGATGAGTCATGTCTCTGTTAGGTCCAGCTAAGAGGTTTTCTTTTTTTTAACATCTCCCCTGCAGCTACACTTTATTGCACAAAACTGTGTTTAAATTCATAACAGTGAGCCAGGTTGGAACTCAGGGCACTACTGTATAATGCCATTAGGTTTTACTGTTGATGGTGGCGCTCATATTGTCAGTCGGTCCATTTAGGAATTTGTGATTGCAATAATTACCTCATTTTCAGAAATGATTTGCCTTTTGTAGTGCTTGCAAGATTTCTGAGAAAAAAGGCTCAGCAGTCACCACCATTTTCCTTTTATCTTCATGTTTATGGAAGTTATGATTAAAATTGAACTTGTCTATTGGCGTTGATGGCAGGGCCATTACTGTCTAATTCAACAGTTGTAGAGGTGTTGTAGCAAATATCAGGACTTCAACAGCTCATCAAGTTTACTGAACTGTTAAACATTACAGGCATACAAGGAGTGCTGTGGTTAGTTTGCCACAAAGGATTGTTAGCTATGTGAAACTAGTCAAAATGTCCCAATTCCCAAAGAAGATGATACTGGAAGAAAAGGAACATTTTGGGTCATTAAATTTATTTTTTTGCTCACTCCCTCAATTTCCTGTTCCTGTTTTCCATTTATAGCTCACTAATCTCTTCCTTCCCTGGCCTCACCTTGTCAGCCCAAAAAGGAAATGAGTGATTTGGTATTTTTGTCCTGGGGGCAGGAGAAACTCCCAAAGAAATGTGGCATGCTGATGGTTTATTTGCTCTGCTAATGCCAGGCCCGTGAGAAATGCACGGAAAAATCCATCCCACCTTTTTAGGTGCACAGTGGAAAATATGACTAGAACAGCGCTGGTTCATAAATTCAGGAGTCACTGCCCTTTGCCAAGTTTATATCACACAAACCATTACCACCCAGAATGCTTGCATTGATATGAGTTAACTGCTCATTTCACTGTCACCCTGTCGTTTAAGAACTCTGATGTTAATCAGATTTGCCCTACTTGATTTGATTACATTTATTTTAATAATCAGTTTGAACAGATTCCAAATATATCAAGTCTGTACTTCTCCCTCTGTTGTCCTTCATTTCTGTGCGCTAGGCTGCACCCATCCACGCTGCCTCGACCTCCAGTGTGCAGGTTTTGCAGCATCTTCCACTCGGGTGCTTCTGCACTACTGCATGTCTTCACTACTCAGTTAAACTGACAGTTTCTCTGGATTTCTGCTGTTTTGTGTGCGTTTGTGTTAGGGTGTGTGCCAGTGGAAATGGGTAAATGTTTATCTTGTTCTGATCTCCTGCTCGTGTGTGTTTGTGCATGGCCTGGTTCCACTGCTGGCCTGTTGTGCGTCTCACTAACTGCTTTTCTCCTCTCTCCTTTTTTGCCATGCTTCAGCCTAGTGACCTGCGCAAGCACCGCAGGAAGGTAATCTAGAGACCTGCTCTTCTAGGCTCTGTCAGCTACCTGTCTATCACATTTACTCTCTTCATCTCCCAAACACAGACCCACAAGTATAGTCCACTGTGTTCAGTTTTAGTTTCTCCATCCCATCCCACAATACACCACTGACTATAAATCTGCAATACAGGACCACAACTGTTCAGTACCAAAGGGGGGGGGGGGCGTGTCGTGTCAGTGTTTCTGCATCTTTTTTGCCTTTGCGAAAGTGATAGTACATCTGTAGTTTATATCCCTGCTGCATTTACAGTCAGTTATCTAGTTCTAATATAGACAAAACAGCCCCCAAACTTTTCGGTCCCAAAGGGGGGGGGGGTCGTGTCGTGTCAGTGTTTCTGCATCTTTTTTGCCTTTGCGAAAGTGATAGTACATCTGTAGTTTATATCCCTGCTGCATTTACAGTCAGTTATCTAGTTCTAATATATTGGCTGCATATGAAAACTGATCTTCTTAATCTATTTCTTGATAATTCAGTTAAACCGGTTAATACCAATTTTGTGTGAAGCACTTTGCAGAATTGATCCTGGGAACTTAAATTTCTTGTACTGTTCATTCAACAAGTGAGCAACACTGTTGTTTCCTCCATTATAAAAGTATATTACGTGCACATAGTAGGCTTAATTAACAAACGCAAACACGGCTCAGAGTTCAGATCAGGGTGCAGTCTTTTCTCAGTCTTGCTCTCTATATCATAAAGATGGTCTTTAAACTGGCTACAGGATGGCCAGAATCAGCGAACCATCCTGAGCCACATCAACCCTGTAAACTGCAGCTGTACCACATAGACTGTGTGTGTTCTTAGTTTATGAAAATGTTGTGACTCAGTGTGTCCAATATATGCAGCTATTGTGTTATTTTTCCATTTCTAATAATGTTTTTATGCAGGCTGTAGTGAACCGCGTACAGCAAGTAACCACTGCATACATATGACACTTGGCACAGATTACTTGTTTACTGAGAAAAGGTGCATATGCAAGGATCAGTCTTGACATTTTCAGAATTGATACTTGATCATTCAAATAAAAGTCACGATTAACCGGCGAATGCCTTCATCTTAATATGTCGTGGGCTATGCAGAGTGAAGTCTGCAGTGATCCGTCTCGCTAACAAATCTCTCCTGCTGTTATGCAGTCTGCTCAGGATGACAAAGCCACCATCCAATGTGAGACGTCACCACCCACCACTCCACGCTCCATGCGCCTAAACAGAGATGCAGGGCTCACTGCCAGCCATGAGGACATTAGGGACATTCGTGGGTATGTCCTGTACCTGTCACCTGGAAAGCATGCTGTATTTTCCCCCCACTTGTTTGGTGTGTTTGTGCTCACCATTCATCTTTCTGTACTCTCTCTATCTAATCACTTGGCCTTTGGATCAATAGCCTGGCTGGTCTGCATGATGGCCAAGGTAGTAACCCCAGCAGCAGTAACAGCAGCCAGGACTCCCTCAACAAAGCGGCCAAGAAGAAGAGTATCAAGTCTTCCATTGGACGCCTCTTTGGAAAGAAGGAAAAGGGCCGACCCAGCGTTCCTGGCAAGGACTCGCCCAACCAAGGTGAGAGACGGTTTTTATTCCACTATAGCACATGTTTATGTAAAAGTCATACCCCTCCATGCTATCTGTGTTGCTGAGCTTCTGGTCTTGTCTGAGCAGGACCATTGTATTTATGTTCCTAGGTGGCACTTCGGAGGCAGAGAGCTCTCCTAAGGATGGCGTAGGAATGGGCACCCTTGGAGGCCCCTCAGAGAAGAACAGGAAGCTGCAGAAGAAGTAGGTGCCTTTCTAAAAATTCCCCTGCCCTCTGCTGTCTACACAGTTGATGTAAAGTGAGAAAAATGTTTGAACATGATGAGATAACTACAGAATACCTAAACTGGAGTAGAGTGTTAGTAGTATAACAGTCGATGGGTCTTATTGTGGGCTTGGTGCTCATGCTGCAGCCCAGGCCTGGCTCGCTCACTCCCTGCCGCCTGGCTCATGCTCACTCCTATCAGCACATCTTCCTTCCATTACACACCCAGTTATTTCCATTGGAGTCATCTCCACCACTTTTTAAAGTTTTTCCCTTTGTTTTTAGTTTCATGCAGACATATTACAAACATCACAAATGTTGTTTTGCTTCCACGTAGCTCTCAAATTAGCATCAATTCATTTCTTTCTCTGTACTGTTTTGCCAACATCCCTCTTCTTTTTATCACCCCCTTCTCATTCCATGTCTAGTCCAAAGACAGGGTAAGTTGGTTCATATTGCTTTTTCTTTGCCTTATCTTCTTCCCACACTTGGCTTCACTTTGACCTCACCAGTAACTCTGAGGACCCTGGCTGTCCCTCCGAATGTCTGATGGCTTTTCCATGCTGCTCTTTACCCTGCCTTTGACAGAGGAGCTTAACTAACAGGAATGTGTGTGTGCTGATTTTTTAGCCCATGACAAATTTTCCTCTTGAAGTTTTCCTGCTGGAGCACGAAGTTATCCAGTACAACTACAGGAAAGATAATTAATGGAAGAATTCAAGCAAATAGTTGTTTTTCGTCTGTTCCTTTCCATAAGTGTGTGGGGTGGTGGGGGGGATCATATAATACATTTCAGCACAAACACTGTGTAGTTGATAACGTCCCCATAATGACGTTTGTGCCTAAGAACATGGTTTGGAGCATCTGTTCATCTTTAATAATGGCAGATGTGCCAAACAGAGGATGGGCTTGTTTGTGCTGCATCACACTGCCTGATCTAGTGGTCAAATACAACTACTTACTTCCTGTTACAGCATCAGTTAATAGATGTTGCTGTGCTTTCAGACAACCTGAATGAGAAGAAGCCCCAGAACCTTTAAGGATTATCCTCTAATGACACTGTTACTTTATGACAAGCTTACAATGTGCATGAAATGAATGTGAATATTTAGGAAGCCATTGCAACAGTTTCTCTGCCCTAAGTACTTCCCTCTGCGCATGTATTATCCCCTAAAGTTGTAGAGGCATGCATCCATATTGAGTAGACTCTCAAAGCACTGGTTCTTGATGAAAACGTAACTGACTAATAAAGTTCTCAGTCCTGGAGTCCGGACTGTGACACCCAGCCATCTCCCAGCCCCACTTGGTTGATCCTGGGTGGTCAGGGCGTGAAAAATACTGAGGACGTTTATGAACATCTGGGCTCTTTTTAAACTAGTGTTTTGTTAATACGATTGACTGCTGATGCTCTTTCAGAGGTTTTCAGGTGAGTGGGTTCTTATTTTGAGTCTGGGTGTTCATTTCCTTGTTTTCTCTCAAGCTCCTGCTCTCTGTTTTGAGTGTGCATGTCAGTTAATGTCTTTGGGCTTGTTTACATGTGACTGATTGAGTGCATATTGGGAGTTTACAACAGGTTGTGTATTTACTGGGGTTTTGGGCCATATGAATTCGTATATTGGCTTGAATGTATATTTTGTTTTCTCAGGCATGAATTACTGGAAGAAGCTCGCAGGCAGGGCCTTCCATTTGCCCAGTGGGACGGACCAACAGTTGTGGTTTGGCTGGAGGTACACAACTGATCTGAAATCCATTCAAAACAGGAACATGTCTGTTAGCTTTTTTGCTTTTCATTTTAACAGCTCATAATTGTCACTCATGTGCCCCCATCTGGCCAGCTGTGGGTGGGCATGCCAGCCTGGTATGTGGCTGCATGCCGTGCCAACGTGAAGAGCGGAGCCATTATGTCAGCGCTCTCAGACACAGAGATCCAGAGGGAGATAGGAATCAGCAACCCATTGCATCGTCTGAAGCTTCGCTTGGCCATCCAGGAAATCATGTCCCTCACCAGCCCTTCTGCCCCACCCACTTCAAGAACGGTACTCACCTGTTGGGTTACTGTGTTGTCAAAAACACACACACATCACTGTTTGTCACATTAGTACAGATAATACTGAGACACGTTGCCTTTCCAAAGACTTGGTGATGCCTTTGAGCTCTGTGTCGACCAATTCTGCCTTTCCAAAGACTTGGTGATGCCTTCGAGCTCTGTGTCTACACATTTTTGTCACCTGTTTAAACATGACACTTTTATTATATTAACACCTTAACTACATAACATGTACTAATGATGGGATCATCCTGCATCTGATTTTATCTTCATTCTTTTGCTAACAATGATCACAGTTAATGAACAAACATTTCTTGATCTTCTCTCCAACCTGCTTCCTCACGCCTCTCTGCTTCCACAATTCTGTCACTTATGATTGGGGGGTGTCACATGATCAGATCACAGGAAATGTTTGGGTCACACATGAAGAAATGGAAAGTTTGGCAGCCACACCTCCCACGGTTAGTGTACCCTGCCTTGGCTGGACACTGATGCCTTTTCTGTATTTGTGGTGACTGTCGAGACTCGTTCCAAGTTTCCTTTGACCTCAGTAATTGTTTGCTTATACTGTTGTTTCACATGCCATCGCAGTCTTTCACTCCAGTATAATCTAAAATATTAATATAAAAATCAGTTTCTCACAAGGCACCTTGGAACAGGGTCATGTTCTTTTTGCTAGGTTATTTTTCTTTCCTCCTAGTTGGTATTAATAAATCTCATTTTACATAGTGTGTGTGTGTGCCTTTACATTAGTTAGTTGTTTGTGTGTCAACACTGTTTAGTTTTACATCATGCTGCTCCTATTCATGCGGTGGATTTTTAGATACAGATTAGTATATGCCAAGATACAAAAACACATTTGCTATTTAAAAATTACATAGTAGAATCCATAATAGCAGACTTCCATTTTAATTCATCATCCACTCCTACAATCTGTGCTTGATATTGTTTATTTCCTGTTTGATGCCTTACTATTGCTTTGTGTGGCTTCTTATGTTAACTGGTTTCCTCACTAACCCCTCGCCTGTCTTTTCTTCTCACCATGTTCACTTTAACCATGCTAACACCAGGAGGATGACGAGGGTAGCTGGGCCCAGGTTTGCACACATTTACCAAAAAACCCAACCTATAATAAATTTAATTATATCCACAACACCAGTGTTCATTGGTTTTAAATATCTGTCACAGTTTTCTGCTTGTATTTATTTACAGTTGACTTTTCATTAAGGGTTCATTCACAATAAGAGTTAAATTGTATAGTTTTACATTATTGTATTGGTTTATTTGTACACAAGGATCATTTGAACCTGGATTCCCATTAAATACTAAGTGCAATCAGAAGTAATGTATTCCAGCAGAAAGTCCAAACCATCCTCTGGAAATAACCCCGCTACATTAATTGTATAATTTAAGGTTTCCAGTATGGTTTAACCCAAATACTCCTGAATACAAATCACATTTTGAACTAGGAGTCTAGGTTCAGGCAGATCTTAGACAGAAGATCCTGTCATCTAAACCATCTGCAGAGGCGGCCAGAGACCAAATTGACAAAGGGATTAGCTTTTACATAATAACAACTGGAGATACTACAAATGCTGAAAACCCAGTACACTAAAGTGTTATTTGTTAATCATAAATCAGATTCCATTGTTTCTGCTCAGTGTGATGTATTTTGTAGTACAGTTCACATCTTTAAGTCTGTTGCTTTTCTTTTCAGTAACAGCTCGATGGTTTCATCTAGTGGTTATCTAGCTGAAGTGCAGGCATGAGGTTTTAGAAGGAAACCTGTGGTGACTGGTTTGTCATCACAGATTTAGTCACTTGTGGTTAGTATGCAGTGAGTTTGGTTTCCTGTGTGAAAACCACAGTGACAGAAGAGTTCACAAACAGCTGTGAGGATGATATCAAAGGAAGTGACTTCTATATTAAAGCCCTTAAAAAATGATTAAACGTGAATAAAGTTAGTAAAGATTGTAGATTCACTAGAACATGGTCTGCCTTCAATATGATATGGCATTTTATTCACTTGTGTCTAAACAGTAGGACTAAGGCCACATTCCTTCATATCTGGGCTTCTCTTACATCTACCAGAAAAGATGGTGTACAAGTAAAAATAAACTGAAGAATATATGTGATGGTCATGTACTTGAAAATGGTGAATTCATTGGAAGTTGAATATTCTAATTTAGCACTTGTACAGACAAAATACTTTGTTTTTATTGTAATGCTTATTGCACGTTAACAGTTGATGCTAGAACTGTCTACATATACACTAATACAGACAAATTTTTTCATTGTGTCTGCCTTTTAACAATCAAACAGACCCATTAAGATGTGTAAGATTGCCGCAAAACATAGGTGGACCTTGGTTGACTGCTGTAAAGTATTCAGCAGGTCAGCGTGGAAGGTGGCTGTTAGCTTGTGTGTTTGCTAGCTATTGTTAATTATTTCAATATTGTGAAGAAATAATTACCTTTATCCATATAAACAGCACTGTTGAACACACGCTCACAGAGCCCTCTCTCCTCTGCTCGTAGACGCTGGCGTATGGAGACATGAACCACGAGTGGATTGGTAATGAGTGGCTGCCCAGCCTGGGTTTGCCACAGTACCGATCCTACTTCATGGAGTCCCTGGTGGACGCCCGCATGCTCGACCACCTCACCAAGAAGGACCTTAGGGGACAGCTCAAAATGGTAGACAGCTTCCACAGGTAAAACACAAGTCCAGGGCAGGATTTATGTACCGGTAATCTTTTTTTTTCTCAGTGAATGGCCTGAAGAGACCAAAGCCAACACAGACTTTATCCAATTTAACAACTGTTGTATGTGTATCCAAAGCTTAATCCTGTGTGCAGTACAGCTTCTTTTGTTGTCCAAGAACCGCTGACAAATGGGAAATACTAATGTGAAAGACAATGTACATCAGCTAAATAAACAGTAAACAACTGCAAGCGTGTCTTTAAAACAGGAACAGTTTTCAGTGTGGAGTGATGTGTCTGAGAAGGCTCAACTATGACAGGAAGGAGCTGGAGAGGAGGAGGGAAGAGTCTCAGCTGGAGCTCAAGGGTAACTCTACTGTTCATTAGTACAGCCAGATACCAGTACCTGCCCACCCGCGTGTCTCTTTAAATTACACTGAAGCTTGAGTTCTCTCCATGTTGTGTTATTTCAGACGTGCTGGTGTGGAGTAATGAGCGTGTGATCAGCTGGGTTCAAGCCATCGGGCTAAAAGAGTACAGTGGCAACCTTTATGAGAGTGGAGTCCATGGAGCACTGCTGGCCTTGGATGAAAACTTTGATCACAACACCCTGGCCCTGCTGCTGCAGATCCCCACACAAAACACACAGGTACGCTTGCATACGCACACCTGATGTCTAGCGTCACCACAAGGTTTAACATTTGTGCTTTTGACTGAAATGTTCCAACAACTTACATATGTGTTAGCATTGTCATCTTGAGCACATGCAGACTAATGCAGGCTAAGAGTCGGGACTGTGTTGGCCCAGTGGTTATCTCATGTTAAAGGGCTTGATCTTTATTGTGTTAAATGGATCATTTGAATTCTTCTTGTCTCCCTTTTCCAGGCCAGAGCAACTCTTGAGCGTGAATACAACAGTCTGCTGGCTATTGGCACAGACAGGAGAATGGAAGAGGTGACAAACATGGAAAGACACAGCACACTTGCCAACACTGTGACACAAACTAAGTGAGAAATTATGTGTGAAACGAACTTCCTCTTATAGTCACACCTGTCTCAATCCTTCCACCCTTCTCTCTCTCTCTACCGCCTGTCTTCTAGGATGACGATAAGAACTTCCGCCGAGCTCCCTCATGGAGAAAGAAGTTCAGGCCCAAAGACATGAGGGGAATGTCCTTGGGTGTGTCAGATACCCTGCCCGCAACCTTTCGAGTGACAAGTAGCAGCACGGCATCTCCCTCCACACAGCCAAAGAGGAGCCCGATGGACGGTGAGCAGAAGATGGAGTGCCAGAAGTGTGTGCATGTGTGTTTGTGTGCTCTTGTCACTGCTCAAGCAGAATCAGCCCTGACTCTTCACAGACTCGAAAGTTTTCTTGAATGGCTTGGCTCCTTTGTTTATGATGCTGTGACTAATGGCATGTCTTTGCATGTGATTTTGCCAACATGGACACACAGGAAGTCAGTCTATACAGAGGCTGGACACTGCCACAGTCAGGACCTACTCTTGTTAACACACAACGGTAAGAACACACGCATCAACTGTCATTTAGGAATAGGGGAAGCGAATGGCTGTTTCCTCACTGCAGAACCTCTTGTCTTTCCAAGCAGAAAGCAGCTTTCTTGTACCAGAGATTTTGGCTCTAATAACGCATGTTTTACGCCTCTCCTCTCTTTACCTGTGTTTCCTCCTTTCCCTCTGTTGCCTCCCCACCTCCCTGGCTTTTCATGTCTGTTCACCTCTCTCCCCCTTCTCAGTTTATCCTCATTATTTCTATAGGTAACCGCTGGTCTGAAGATGAAGGGGAATTCCCTGCATTCAAGACCAGGATGATAAACTGAAATGACTGACTTGCAAGGACACCGAAAAGATGTCTTGTTTTTTTTTTTTTTTTTTTTGTTGCCGTCACACAGAAAGACCTTACTTACCAATCTCAGTATCCCTAGAGGAAGCCTTCTAGATTTATCTGCATTTATTATATTTATGTAAAGCAATGGGACATTTAAATGATTTTAGAATTATTGTATAATCCTTTTTGCCCATCTCCCCTTAATCATCCCACTTTTTAAAAAAAGAAATATTTTTCCACTGTGCCCATTTCAAGCTCTGCTCTCAGATGTATGTAGCTGAATGTTTCAGTTGTCTGGCATTTGTATATTTCTATCAACATTTTATCTAATCTTTTTATAATCCTGACTCTATTGACCACATGTGTTTTGTCTTTGTTGCGATTGGAATTCTAATTGAATTTATGCTTAAGTGACTTTGATATATAACTTAATTCATATCTTCTGACCTTTTTAACTGTTGTAATTTTTGTAGCTTTATTACCTGTAATTTTGTGTAAATGCAACTCTTAAGTCAGTGAATGCGTGAATATCAGACAGATTGCTGGACTTGACTGTTTCACAGATTGCTCAACACTGAGTCATCCTTCACCTTTAGAATACCAGCTGGCAAGCCAGGTGGCGGTGGCAGCAGAGATCATGTGAAACACTGTGGATTTTCCTTTTCTTGACTTTATTTTCCATATCTGCAATACCAAAATAGAACTTTGAATTTATGAACTAAAGCCATATAACAGTGGCGGGGTGGGGGGGACAGAGGGCTAATTTCCGATGCAAGTGAAAAGAGTTCCAGTTTCTCTCTCTCTCGCTGACCTTGCATGCAGAAGCTACTTCACTTACCCTGCCCCACTACATCCAGCCTATCCCTTTAACAAAACAAACTTCTTCACAACTCGAGAAACACAACAGGCTCACTCGTACAGAAGGACTTGATATGTACAGATGAGTTGAAAGTGTTGAAACTCCTTCGATGGACCAACTTCACCGAGGCCTCGGTCGATCCCCGCTGTGACTGTAACCCTCAAGGCGGTGCGATCCACCCACTCCCCTTTTTAAAAAACACTTTGTATGAAGAGTTCATATCAAGCCTTATTGTTTCTTAAGTCCTTCCTGTCTCTTATTTATTATTATCCACCCACGTTGTGTTTTTCAGTTGTACTTTCAGAGCTAAAGCACCGGTTTGTTCCTCTGAATGTGGCGATGCCCCTCGTGTACATTTGTCTTGTCTGTTGTCACAACACCGGTTCCACCGTTAATTTTCACAGCAAATGAGTAGGAACCGAAGAGTTTTCTTTCACCATAGATGTAGTCGAACTTTAAAGTAAAAACACTTTTTTTGTGATTTAGTCTTTCATGCACAGTGCAAATCACATTGCTGTTTTATTCCTGCTCTTTCCATTGAATCTTCTGATCTTGTAACAATGATGTACAGCCTGAGTACTTATAAACTATTTTTATCACAGTATTATTTATTGCTTACTTTCAATAAAATACTGAAACTTACTCTTGCATTTTTCTTTCCTACAGAGCTGTTGTTTTTTTGTTGGCATCCATAGATGGCTTACCTTAACAAAAACCAAAGTGAGCTGCCCACAGCGGGGCTGATTTTCTATCTGCACTGGCCCCATGTTTATCTGGGTGATCATGGAGATTATGGCCTAACACAAGGCAATCCAAGTGTCTCTTGTTTGTTGTGGCATAATATAAATTCAGACTAGTACATAATATTTTAGGACAGTTATATGCTGCTCATTTTCTTTATTCATTGTTTGGTCTATATAATGTATAAGAGTGAAAATTGTCCATCAGCTCTTCTGGGTTCAAAGTGTTGTGGTCAGAACAATGCAAAACCATAAGATACTCTGTTGTGTGACAGAAGAGTGGCAGCACGAATCAAAGGAAAGGTGTACAAGACAGCAGTGAGACCAGCTATGCTGTATGGGTTAGAGACTGTAGCAGTGAGGAAAAGATGAGAGGCAGAGATGGAGGTAGCAGAGATGAGGATGTTGAGGTTCTCTTTAGGAGTGACCAGGATGGACAGGATTAGGAATGAGCACATCAGAGGGACAGCTCAGGTCGGCTGTTTTGGGGACAAGGTCAAAGAGGCCAGATTGAGATGGTTTGGACATGTGCAGAAGAGGGATAGTGGTTATATTGGTAGAAGGATGTTGGAGATGGAGCTGCCAGGCAAGAGGTCAAGAGGAAGGCCAAAGAGGAGATATATGGATGTGCTAAAAGAGGACATGAAGTTAATTAGGGTAAGAGTAGAGGATGCCGAGGATAGAGTTAGGTGGAAACAGATGATTCGCTGTGGTGACCCCTAACAGGAACACCCGAAAGAAGAAGAATTATCAGAATAATGGCTAATTAATCGTTGCAGCTCTACAATATACAATTTTTAAAAGTATGAGGAACTCGAGTTTCTCATCAATTTACAATTCGTGGCAAATCGCCTAAATGGTATGGCCCCGCCCACTCGTGACGTAGGTGCTGGCTGAGGACGGGATACTGGGAGAGCCGGAAGAGCCGTGAAGAAAGCCACCAGGTCCCAGTAACGTTGTTTTCTCGTCAAGCCTGAGTTGTGGACGTACGGTTACATCCACCAGGGGACACATTAAGAAATCCGTTTAGACGCTGGTCGGAGCTACCTTTGTTGTGGACGGTGAGTACTGAACAACTGGGTGGAGGATATGAAGTAAAATGTCTACACCAGGTCGTCGCTGAGTCAGTTCATCATTCCTGAAGGTATTTTAGCTTTAGCCTGCTAGCTAACTGGAAATCTGGAACAGGAAATACCACAGATAGCCAACACTTTTACCATTGTGGAGCTAAATTAAACACATTTTACCTCTGCTCGTCGCTTAACGTTTAATTGCCATGAGTTGACAACCATTTAGAAGGTTTACATCCCGTTTCCAGAGGATATCTGACGGTAAAATCCTATAACACAACACGCAGATATTTATGTCAGTGATCCGCAAAAGTAACGCCACAGGAGTGTTTAATTAACCGTGATTTCATGGGAAAGAATATTTACGTGTTTGGACACGATATTCCAGACACATGTGGCCCGACCCACTTCAACTGAAGCAAATTAATCGACATTAATTTGCGTCCCCTCGGAAATACCGTGAACGCATCTGGATAACTTAACCCTGCTAACTACTCCTTTTTGCCCAGACTTAATTTACAGTTCACCATCGTTCCTCAGGCCTGGTCAGAAAATAGAATGGATGGGACGAGCACATGGGTGTGGTTGTGTTGTGGATATACTCCTGTCATGTACTAACGTGAAGTCACACCGAGCGTTTGCCAGGCTGCTGCTTCCTGGTCTGAAGACTCCTTTCTCCGGAGGTGAACGGAGCCACGTCTCCTGCAGCCTCTGCTGGAGCACACACGGTACAGGCCCACACTGTGCTGAGTCAGGAGCTGCCCAGCTGGTGCAGGAAGCTTTTGCCCCACACGTCACATTACAGGAGATGGAGAAGCTGAACTGTTACAGCAGCCACTACACAAATGAACGGAACGAGCAAAACAAGAACACACATGCACAAAACAGAGAAACAAACTATTAGGCTAAGTTATTTACAAGCTATATGTAGGAAAGTTAGGGGGTGAAACAACAGTAAAAAAAAAATCCAAGTGAAAGAAAAAGCCTGTTGTACATATGTACTATATACTGTTGTACATTAGGTTTATATTGATGCATTATTGCATGTCCATATGTATACAGGGTTAATTTACTGTAAGTATTCTCCCTGTCTGTCCAGCTAAAACCATACATTTTTTGGACTGAAGAAGCATCCACTATTTGAGAACTGGTTATAATTTATAATTTAGGGAACACATCCTTTCCCTAAACATCCAGCATGGCAGATGTGTGGACTCTGCACTTTTCTCTTTTTTTCCCCATAGAAAATTGCATAATTTTTGTTTTCTGACTTGGTTGGACAAAACAAATTGAAGAGGTTATGTTAAGCTCTCACAAATGGTGATCAACTCTTTATTTTCTGACTTTTTATAGACCAAGTGATTCATGATTTAGTTGCCTGAAATTCTAATAATTGTTGATAATTGATAGTCGGAGTCTTAAATGTCAGAAATCTAGGATAAAATCTACAGTCTCTGTTCTCTGCAAAGACACAGTCCCGATGAAGTTGATATGAGGCTTCAGCAGTTTGAGTTGAATCACATGGGAGTTATTTAGAGCCACGTTCTTTATAGTGTGAAAGTCCCCCTTTGTGTTTCCTGCAGTGAAGTGATGGGCCCACAGAGAGTGTCTCTCTTTGGACCTGCTTTATTTGACTAGCTCAGGCTGTTGAAGCTCATACTGCCTTCAGTTAAACAGAACTGTAGATTTTGTTCCCAGCCTTTTTCACTGGGTTTGTGTGATGAAGGGCTCACTTCAGAAAACTGTGGAAAATGTCCATCATAGTTTCCCAGAGTTGGTGTGTTCAAATATTTGTTTAAAGATCTAAAGGTATCGGATTTACTGTACAGTGATATGAAACAGAGAAGAACTTCACACCACAGAAGTGGGAACCAGAGAACAGTGGGCGTTTGATAACTGGTTAATCGCTTGTCAAAAAATAATTCTCTCCACTTGACTAGTTTCCCATGTTTTATATGCATGTATTGTATCGAATGATGAATCTCTGAGAGAAAACTGCACACGTCTAGCATGTCATGCATGTCTCTTTCTACCTGCCAAGTCATTTTTTCTCATTTTTCTTGTATTTCAGTGTGTGTGACAAGACTCTCTAAGGATGTGGAAGGCAGCAGCAGGGCAGTCCGTCAGCTTGTCTGTAGATGAGGGAGGAGACGACTGGGAGACTGACCCTGACTTTGAGGTCTCTGTGGACGTCCTTCCTCTTTCCATGTTCCCTTTGATCCTGCTCCGTCCTTCATCTTTCTCATCACCCTTTCTTGTCCTTGCCATTCAACTGTGTTTTGTTTGTTGTAGAATGACCTATCGGAGAAGGAGCAGCGTTGGGGGGCCAAGACGGTGGCTGGTTCCGGGCATCAGGAGCACATAGAGTGAGAAAGCAGCTTGTTTTTCCACTGGTATTAAATGGAACAGGGAAAGCCCCAAAATGTGTCTCCTAACTCTTTGCTCCCTTGGTGCAGTATCCACCAGCTGCGTGAAACGGTGTCGGTAGAGCACACCAGCCTGAAGCAGCAGGAGCTGGAGCGCATGCCTAAGGCCTCGCATGGATATGGAGGGAAATTCGGAGTGCAGCAGGATCGCATGGACAAGGTGAGATAGTGTGCAGGATGTGTTCCCACAAATGAACAACTGGAACAGGCTGTTTCTCACACCTAGTTTAAATGTTGATGGCACCTTTATTGCCGTGTTGCCTGCTGAAGCAAAAATAATACAGAAGTTTGACAAACGGTCTCAGCTCAGGTTCCGTTTGGTGGCTGGCGTGGAGCTTTGGTCAGCGGACAGCTCCTCAGCTGCTACTAACCCGCGTGTTTGGTGTCGAGCCGTTTACAGCACAGTTTAAGGTAACTGTGTGATCACCTTGTACAAGCCTGTTTTTTATCACGACAATAGCGAGTTTGGACTGTCGTGTGTCCAAGAAGCCAGTTTCTCAGCCCCCCTTGCGATTCTCATCCAGCAGGAGGTCCTTTTGTCATCATCGCCAGCTGTTTAGTGATACTGGGCTGCAGGTCACTGTGTTGACTGTTCCTCCATCTCTGGATCAGTGATGTGAGGTTGATTCTGTGACACAACACAAATAACACATCGGTCTGTGCAGTGAGCTTTGACTTCAAGGGGTGGTGGTTATGTTTTACCTGTGTTTGTTAACAGTGTAACATGCCAATTTAGAACTTGTTCTGGCATTTTTGGAGTTGTGAGTATAATGTATATAGTTATGAGGGTCATACTGTTGTGGGACTATTGTTTTTTTTGTGTAATGGTATGAGGAAACTGAGCTGCAGTCTGAGTGCTCTCTAGTTCTGAATATTTTGCCTGTGTATAGCTGTACTAAAGTGCAGTGTGCTTGTTATAGCAGAATAGATGGAGAGACAAAATCTTTTCTGGTCAATTCTTGCACAGGTTTTTGGGTGATAAAACTAGTTTTGCTGTAGTTTTTTGGCAGTTGAAGCAAACATCCAGCTCCTGGTTTGTATTATGAGAGACTTTAGGGAACTTATGTTGAAAGGCCAGCATGCTCACATCCCCAGAGAGGCCCCTGAGCTCCCGGTGAGCAGCTCTGCCCGTCCACACACCCCTCTCTGGTCTGTGTGCTCACTGCAGCATGAATTTGATGACAGAGCACTGTTTACACCACAGTGTGTGTGTGTCTGATGAGTCAGGAGTTGCCACATCAAACCACTGGCTTGGTGTTCAGCTGTATTGCCCTTGTCATGATCACCCTGTATCCCCCTCCCCCAAAGAACATATTCTGAAACTCTATATGTATGTGTGTTTCTTAACAGTCTGCTGTGGGTCACGACTACCAGAGCAGGTTGTCCAAGCACTGCTCCCAGACAGATACCTCCAAGGGCTTTGGAGGGAAGTTTGGAGTGCAGGCCGATCGAGTGGATCAGGTGATTCCACCACTTACAGCATTAACAGCATCTTCTTGATTTCACACATGGGCCTTGGTGGTTTATTTATTTTTCTTGAAGTGTAAAATGACATGCAGCTGGATTGATGTAGTTCCAGAAACGTTCCTAACATTATAGCATGTAAACTTTTGTTTTATGTTTTTAAAAACAACAATCGACAGCTTCCAATTAAACAGACAGATCTACTGTAACTCTGCCTCTGGAAAAGCTGCCCACATTTAGACATAGCTAAAGGTCAATCTAGTTCTGCAGTGGATCACAGAGTAGAATGACATGTTTGTGTTTTTCAAACTCATTTTGTGAATCTGGTTGTGAGTGGGGTAAAACGTGCACTCACAGGGTTAAGAAGGGTAGGTATTCAGGAGAGTAACTGTTGCTTCTCCCTCTCTCCTTCTAGTCTGCTGTTGGGTTTGAGTATGCGGGCAAGACAGAGAAACATGCTTCGCAGAAAGGTGATGTTGCAACTTGTTCCATATTACCTGTAGCAGGGGTTTACTTGGGCAGACTTCTCTGAATATGTTCCAGTAATATACAGCTGTATCCAGGACATGAGCACATTCCAAATACCTTTACCTCCTTTACCTGCCTGTTAGGTTTAAACACTAAGATTTCCAAACTGGCAACAGGAGTCACATTTACCAGCCACAGCCCTTCTGTTGAACCTTTGGCTGGTGGCCCGCCATAGCACATGCACTCCCATTGTAATGGTCGGGAGCTCTGTGAGCTCCGCTCTGCCAGGGTCCCACCATGTTTGGGACGTGTTCATGGTGTTGGCCAGTTAAGCCTCTGTTTGTTTTTGCTGTGGCCATGTTTCCATTGTTCTGTACTCCAGCATGTTGGATTTAAACTGACATGAAGTTAAACATGGACTCTCTCAAAGCCGTACTGGGGAACCAGTGCAGAATCACAGCCACTTTTCACTGTGGTTTCTCATTAGATGCATAATTACGCACTTTCAGATTAAAGCTGAAACTCTGGGCTTTTATCACATAGTCGCTGTGACATTTGCAGTCCAGTTTGCCAGAATAGAGCCAAAACAAAGCCACCCATACTAGTCAAAGGCTACAGTGAAGTATAATCAGTGACCACAGTGCTCAGGCTTCTTCACTTTTAGTTTTTTGAGGCTGCATTCCCATGATTCCAGTCTGCCACCTTTGTGTTGTGTTCATCCCCTCCAGAGTGCCGTGCACACACCAAAACATTTGCCCAATTCCAGTGGTTCCCCAGTGTTGTCCCTATTTATCAGTTTCTTTGTGCGCCACCAGCAGGATGTCATACAGTCTACTTGTGTCTCCCTAAAGCAACTGGATTAAACCCAGCCAGTCATGACTGTGTGATAATGACAGCAGTGAATACGTCTGAGGTGTTTTGACTCTCTTACCTCTGGCTGGTGCCACTGGAACTATTAATGGGGAATATGGAATTGGGCTCCTCCATGACACTGCTGCCATGCTGCTTCACCTTGACCTTTGACCCTTGCCCCCCCTGCTTTGCTGTGTAGACTACACCACGGGGTTTGGGGGCCGATACGGCGTGCAGGCAGATCGTGTCGACGAGAGCGCAGTGGGCTTCGATTACCAGGGCAAAACGGAGAAACACGAGTCCCAGAAAGGTTTGTTTAGATGAGTCCTGCACAGGTCCAATTTTGAAAACCTGCACCTACATCTGCAAAACTCTGTATCAGACCCGACCCTTTAACAAAAGACCCGCGACCCGTACCTGTAACTACAACGGTCTCTTACTTTAAAGTGCTTGAGAGTTGTTCTTTGAAAACCGTCTGCTGGTGGACGCAGCACCTGGGCTCTGCGGCTCTTCCCTTAGCGAGGGGGTGCCTACTGTAGCTTGCGGCTTTCAAACACTAACACGTTTTTGCACTGTTTACAAGCAGCGAAGCCGTTGATAATGTTGTTTTCACTGTCTGTAGCAACAATGAGTTTCTCCCATATGTCCAACTTGGCCTTTGCTGAGGTGCTGTCCACAATTTTTTTCGTATTCGCCGTTATTTTTGTTTTTAGGTTGTCCAGTTGGCCACACTGACACTTATGTTGATGTCGGAGTGGCGTTCTATTAGCTGGATGTGTTGACAGGTCAAAGGTTGTGCCACAGGCCTTCACAATAAATGTGCAGTATCTTTTATTTATGCTTGATTAAAATTTTGCTGGATTAGATGTTTAAAAGAAGCTGCATCTTTATTTATTTATTTATTCTACTTGCCTTCATTTAGTCTATTTTTACACGTCCGTACCTGTGAAAATATAGACACTTTTTTTTTTTTTTTTACCCGTTACACGTCATTTTTACAGGTACCTGTCGGGTACCCGACCCGGTGCAGGACTCTGGTTTAGATTTTCTACCGTGCGGCATTCCCATTAACCCGGGGAGACATGGAGAAAGTGTGGCTAACTAACAAACACTAACATGTGCACACACACACACATTCAAAGACTGTGTCCCTGACTCAGTGAGTGTAGTCCTGCAGGTCCTGACAAATCATGTTATTTTGCATTTGTCCCTCCAGTCCTCAACCTTTGCCTGCTTACATCAGCTTTGTTTTCAGTGGAGCTCTCAGTTGCATGTGTGATGTGACATTTGTTTTCCGCAGTAACAAATATACATCTGCCTCAGAGGCCCGAGAATCTTTTTAGGCATTGGTGGTCATTTCCATCTTTGTGTTTCTGCTTCCCTTCTGATCTCAGATTTCAGGTGTTTGGCTCAGACTTGACCCCCTAGTCTGTAGCTGGTCTGTGGGTTGGGCATGATCTAGCTGGTTTTCTGAGGCAGTGGGATATTTGATGTAGTCTAGACCTTTCCTTTTAACATGAAACCCAGTTATGTAAACACTAATGTTGGTGAAGGGCTCATGCGGCATGGGTTACCTCTGCCATTTCCTTTCCTAACTTCTTCTCCCATGTCGTCATCCTCCGTCCATTGGCAGATTATGCCAAGGGCTTTGGTGGCAAGTTTGGAGTAGAGAGCGACAAGGTGGACAAAAGTGCCGTGGGCTTCGAGTACCAGGGCAAAACGGAGAGGCACGAATCACAGAAAGGTTGGTATCCTCATGCACACGAGCAGCCTGGCTGGTTATGAAACATACTAACCATATACAAATGTACAGATAATTCACACATTTTATTCTAAATAATTAGTTTAATCGTTTACAAATAGTGTTTTTAACCTTTGGATTTCAAGTGTGTTCAAAACTTTACTCAAGACGATGAAAATTTTTCTGTGCACTATCAAGTGCAGTGTTAACGTCTTATGGGAGTACAATAATGTCCATACCAGTTATTTAACCAAATGTTTCTCGGGGATAAAAACCAAACTAATTAGGACTCTTTTCCGAGTCATCAGCATATTTACCTGCACTTTTTTGTGATGACTGAAAACGTTGCTGCTGACATGTTATTAGTAGGTTTGTGTCCAGAGTCGCACCCTCAGGTCTGTCCTGACTTGTCTGCTCTGCCTGTAGTTTCTTGTCTGACACACCTGTGCATACATTACTGCCTGGTTGGCCAACAGCAGCTTGTAGATATGGGCTGGCGGCAGAGGCGTAGATAACCAAAAGAATTGCCCATAATGCACTGGGCTGTGTGTGCTGCCAGCATTTACAAATGTGATAACTGAATCACATGCTTTGATAACAATCTAACACACTGGGGTGAAAACAGCCTGTGACACATCAGGAGTTTATTGATCTTCACAGTCATTATTTGTTTTATAGAGACACAAGTCTTTGCTTCTTTTTTCCCCATCCATGAAATTGCTGAGAAAAGTTTTTCCAGTTGTAAAAAAAGTTTTGCCAGGTTTTTGAAACAGATTTTTGTAAGACTCGGTGCATGTAGAAATTAAAAATCACCTGGAAGGAAACATGAAGGCTTCTAGTCCTATTAGACAGCGGTCTGCAGCCAGACCCCTCCCCTTATGTCGAACATGGTGCAGTGCTGCACAAGTGTTAAGTTCATCAACAAAAACATGACAAAAATATTCACTACAACCTATTTTAGGACAAAAACAAAACTAAGTAAAAAGTAACATTTCATAACGAGAACTATGACAGAATGTTTTAATTTCTTCATCAGTACAATAATGTGCAAGACTAGCTTTATGGCTAGTGTGACAAAGTACCTTGTTATATCGGGTATGTGGGAATAGCCAATAAGATTCTTATCATGTAATTTTATTTACAACCAGTTTCTCTGTAGAATTACCTTCAAATCTTCTACATCACATGTATAACTACTGCAATATAAACTACAAAAGACATAATTTTATCTCTAAGATACACCTGAACTTCAGGTAGTTGAATTAGAGGACAGTGTTAGGTTTGAGTTGTCCTGTGTCATGTGTTCCTGCAGACTATGTGAAAGGCTTTGGAGGCAAGTTTGGAGTGCAGACAGACCGACAGGACAAGTCAGCGCTGGGATGGGACCACCAGGAGAAACTACAGCTTCACGAGTCTCAGAAAGGTACTGGTTCTGGTTCAGTTTGGTTCCTGAAGGCAGATTTAGTAAGAAATGTACTGGAAGTTGTTGGCAGATGTCAGAATCTATCATGATGATAAATAAGAGCTCTGAACATCTGCCCAGTGCAGCTTCATATGTCCTTAGTTGAAATCATTAAACCACTGTCACTGTTTCCTACATGAGAAAAAACCTGATAGCCATGTTTCTGTAGTTTAAATTGCTTATCAAACCCTAGAAGCAAACCTCAATGTCTACAAGTAGCCTGCTTTGATTTAAACACAGTGTTTCACTCTCAAACCTTTGTTCCTCCTCAGCTCTACTGCAGTTTCATTGCTCTTTCAGATGTGGTCTTTCAGAAGTTAACTTCTTCAGTCTGTGGTTACAGTAAGAAAGAGGAAGTGGAACCAGAGATGAGATTTATAGTTGCATGTCAGGCCTGTGGCCACTGTTTGCACAGGGCAAATGAGTGCTTTTGAATTAGAAGTCAAATTCTAAAAGCTGTGAGAAGCCTCTTTCACAAGGTTGACCTGTAGATCTGCAGCTCTCTAACCTTCCCAAACTCCTGATAGTTGAGGCTACCTCATGCAGAGCTGACCATGTTCATTGCATCTCTACATCTGCAGCTGGAGATGATCGAGACATTGTCCTTGCAGAGAGCTGATGACACTGACAGCATGTTTAATCTGAGCTCTCTTGCAGAGGATGAGATTTATATTTGCATGTCAGGCCTGTGGACACTGTTTGCACAGGGCAAATGAGTGCTTTTGAATTAGAAGTCAAATTCTAAAAGCTGTGAGAAGCCTCTTTCACAAGGTTGACCTGTAGATCTGCAGCTCTCTAACCTTCCCAAACTCCTGATAGTTGAGGCTACCTCATGCAGAGCTGACCATGTTCATTGCATCTCTACATCTGCAGCTGGAGATGATCGAGACATTGTCCTTGCAGAGAGCTGATGACACTGACAGCATGTTTAATCGGAGCTCTCTTGCAGAGCTGGTTGTTTGTCTACATGTCAGCCCTGTGATAGACTGGCGACCTGTCCAGGGTGGACCCCGCCTCTCGCCCAGTCTCAGCTGGGATTGGCCTATTCAGGAATAAGTGGTAGAGATAATGGATGGATGCTTCCCACATTAAGATGCCTGACTGGGGTAAAAGGACCAGCTGAAGTGGGGGGAGCCCAGTATAGAGCTTTGACCACTGATCATGATCGGAATCAGCTTTATTGGCCAGGTGTGACGGACACATGAGGAATTTGACTCTGGTACATAGGCTCTCAATATGCAAAACAGTAAACCAGCATAAGGCTGTGTAATATAACAAAATAGCAGTATTAACATCAACAAACAGTCCAAACAATGTGGAAAAAGCAGTATAAACAGACAGTAAACAATGCAGACAACAAAGGAATGTTCATTGAAATGAGATAAATAGGGATAAAAACAGAGTACTTAAAACTAGAGACCTGTACGAGTCTGTATAATCTGTACTATGTATCTATACACAGGTATTGCACTGAGGGTTATTGTCTAATCATACTGTCGTGGGTTAAGTGTTCATCAGAGTGACAGCCTCGGGGAAGAAACTGTCCCTGTGCCTGGTTGTCTTAGTGCACAGTGACCTGTAATGCTGTCCATAGGGGAGGAGTTCAAACAGATTGTATGAGGGGTCTGCAGTGATCCTCTCCGCCCGATCCTCTCTCTGATTATGTTTAGTTGCCGAAAATGATTTTAACCAAGAATTTATCATGGTGTGAAATCCAGGATCTTAAAGGCTTTTGCTCTTTTGAGACCACAATGTGTTTCTACAGCTGAGCATGTGCCTTAAAGCTGTGCCAGGTGCGTTACTGTCTCTATACATGTTGGTGTCTGTGTGTCTATATGTGTATGTGTGTGTGTGTTATGTTGCAGACTATAAGCGTGGGTTTGGAGGGCGGTATGGGGTAGAGGTGGAGAGGCAGGACCAGTGTGCCCTGGGCTATGAGCACAAGGAGAGCCTGGCCAAGCACGAGTCCCAAAAAGGCACAGGCACTTCCCTGAACACCCCTCCCAACGCCACCTTCATTTCAGACACTTCATCCTTACCCACCCTGTCCCAGGAGAATGACTCCTTTTAGCTTGTTGCGCCTTCCTTTGGCTCCATCCTCCTCCTCCTCCTCCATCATAACTGCTGTTTCCTTCTAAATGACACACATGCCTGCCTTTCCTGCCACAGTCCTCCTGTCAGATATCCCTCCGCACTGTCACACACCCTCCCGTCTCAGCAGCACCAAACAACGGGTCAGATCAACCCAGAGAGAACTAGTCATGGAGATGGTTTTGGTTTTGATCTATCTGGCGCTGAATGTGGTGCCCAAGCTGTAGAAGTGAGTTAAAAATTTTAACTGTTTGTCCATATTAGTTTCAAAGCTGATATAACAATATAAACACGTTTCAGTGGAACGGAACGGAATCTTTGCATGACACCAGGGCTAAGTGGGAAAATATGTTGCGTTCTTTTGGCTGTAGTCTTAGACTGCAGTTATGCTGCTATTTCTGACAGATTACATTTTAGTCAGTAGTGTTTTCTAGTGAATCGGTGGTTTGTATCAGGGCTGTGCTGCTCAGGTGAAGCAGATTTCCCCCAAGTCCTAGTCTTTTTATTACCAGCACTCTACTTGAACGGCTTGTTTCGACCTGTAAAGCCTTCGTTTTGGGCTAGGTGATGTGTGTAGCGTACAAGACGTTTGCCTGTGGCATGAGCCATACATCATGAATTATACTATACATATAAGAGATTTGATTGTGGCTTTCAGAAGGGAATTGCAAGATGTCTGTTTCCTAGTGTAGTCTCATATTCCTCTGGCAGTATTTATCCTGGACCGTATCCCCCCTCGATCACCTCCCCTGCTGTTTCTAGAGCTTCCATGGTGCTGTTTGTTTGCTAATGCGCTCATTTTGTGCATGATGTTTACGGCCGGCGCATTTTATCGAGTCGTCCTGCTACGACCAGACATGGCTGATCTTCAGCACAGTGACTGAGCCAAGATGTTTGCCTGACCCAGTGCCTGGCTTATGTTAAGATTCTCCTGCCAGTCTTTCTGCTCTCACCGTCTGCATTCAGTTTTTTTTCTCTCTCTCTATAGGTTTGCATGAGCTCATCAGCCTCGCCATCGATTCCAAAAGTTGATTTATCAGAGCTGTGAAACCAACCACAGACTGCTTCGTCAGAACTTTTACAGACCAGATGGGTTTAATGGCTCTTGGCTCCTAATTCACGCTTTTAATAGTGTGTGATTGCGAAGCATGATGGAGAGGCTAAATTAAACCCAGAAACTTGGTTAGTGCTTGCTGCTGGAGAGCAAGCTCTGATGATGCTGGCTGTGGTTGAGTCAGTAAAGTAAAACAGAACATGACCTTTACTTCTCTCCTGTTTGATACCAGATTACTCTAAAGGATTTGGAGGGAAGTTTGGCGTCCAGAACGACCGGATGGATAAGGTGAGAGGCGTTTGTGAAGGTTACTCCCCAACACTGATAGTTGCACGTAGAGGGCTCTGTGTTATGACTGTATATGTCTCTGTTGGACAGAGTGCAGGGACGTACGAGAATGTGGAGAAGATGACGCCATCTTACCAGAAAACCAAACCGGTGGAGGCTGGTGAGCATTCAGCAGCATCAGCTGTGTTTGATTCAGACCTGTAGGCAACATGCAAGCTTATCCCTTTGTTTCCTCACTGGTCAGCTGGCAGCAGCACTGGGAGCATCAAGGCTCGCTTCGAGAACATCGCCAAGCAGAAGGAGGAGGAAGACAGAAAGAGGGCAGAGGAGGAGCGAGCACGTCGGCAGGCCAAGGAGAAGCAGGAGCAGGAGGCGGCGCACCGTAAAGCCGAAGCAACGCCCAAGAGCCCGTCTCCCCCCACAAGTCCCAGCACCACTCTGAGCCCGACTGCACTGGCCCAGCGAGCTGTAGCACCACCAGCTCAACAGGTGAATCGGTGCATCTCTCTGCTGTGGTTTGGTTGTGTGTAAGGCAGGGGCGTCAAACTCAATCGCACAGGGGACCAAAACTCAAAACACACTTTAGGTTGCGGGCTGAACAGGATAAACATTTATTGAACAAACTAAAACTAAACATTTGAACATAAATATGAATAGAAACAGACAATATTATTCCAAAATAAATAAACTTGAACTTAAAATCAGCAACCGTATTTCTGCTAACGCTTCCATTTGCAAACACCTGCTTTTTGTCTGGACACAAGATGTCGCACACTTAGAAACTCCTTCATATCGCCGGGCCATTAAAAAAAAAAAGATGTATAAAATGAGTCTCGGGCCTTGAGTTTGACACGTGGTGTAAGGGAAGACTGATGCAGCTGGTTCTTTAAAGAGGAGCAGGTCACCAGTGCTTAACAGAGAGTACAGCCAATTTCAGACAAGTACTTCGTTTTCCACATCTATCTTATGTCAGTCGTTAACAGAAGCAGGACTGGTTAAAACAGGACGCAGCACACACAAAGGCGGCCTATTGGTTTGTGATCACACCCAGAATGGTGCTTATGGTAGCCTTTAGCTTTACAATGGAATGTTGTTTTCTCTTGCAGACAGTACACATTTCCAGCTACAGCTGGCTCTAGTAAAAGGAAGCCAGTAATACACTGAAGCTGTTAAGTGATGGACATGTCTGTAGCAGCAGGGCTCTCTGCAGGGACAGATCTCACTTGGATTGTTGTTAAAGCCCTTTTCCATAAGCTTTGCAGCCTCTAACCTGATGGATCCCATTTGCCAACAGGAAGCAGCCGGAGATGCAGAGGAGGAGGATGGTGAGCAGCTGTATGAGGTGGAGCCACACAGACACTATGCGCCACAGGAGGACCTCTACCAGAACACAGAGGAGGCTGCAGCAGGAGGTGAAGCTCCCGTTTTATTTGTGGTGGTGGCGATGATTTTTTCCCTCCCTTAAAGGCCAACTAGAAAACCTTTGAAATTTATGCTTCATAAATCTTTACAATTTTCTGTCATCAGATCAGGTGACCATGATTGTGTCTATTCAGATTCAGTCAGACTTTAGAACAGAAAACCACTTTATTGTCCAAAGGTGGAGAATTGATTTGTTCAAGAAAACACACATTCACATACAGTGATAAAAACACTGGCAGTGGGAATTAACAAATACAAAAGAAGCTTAAAGAAATGCACCTTAAGAAAAAAAGCAACCAACATTGATTCTCCAGGAACTGAGTCAGCCAGTTGCCTCTGGAACAGATGAAACTCTGTGTGTCTGCTACTGCTTCAGTTTTACCGTTTGTGCTGTAGATCTCATTATAAGCAGATAAAGCTACGTTGCATTTTTTGAAATCTACAGCACAGTAAAAGTGAGGCCTTAAAGGTCTGAGTGTGTTATATGTTCACTGTAGCCAGAGGTGTCTCAGTCTAGTCTCCTCATAGTTTTGTTGTCTTGCAGACGACGAGCAGTACGAGTACGGCGAGGACCTTGGGGTCACGGCGGTGGCTCTGTACGACTACCAAGCAGGTGAGACCAAGAGGAGTGAGTAGTTTCAAAAGGGACATAGTGTCATGGTTCGGTTACACCACATTTATCATGTGGATTTGATCCACAAAACAAAGTCAGTTCAGGTGAACAGATTTTTCTTTTGGTGTGACCTAAGACAAGCACACTGTTATTAATCTAACATGTGGGCTGATGTCTGAATAGGCACTTGCTCAGTTTTATGTAAAACTCAGACAATCTTACCGGGTCAGACTTTGAGCACAGCTGATGTCTTAACTTGAAGGATAACTGTGTTTTTGTGTCAACCAACCAGTGACTCTGTATCTGGTGTTTAGCTTTCATTACCTCTGTTCTAGTACTCGTGTTAAAAAGCATAACCAGGGCAACCAGTCCAGCAGCCCCCGACAGAGCTCAGAGTACACATGGTGTCAGTGAGATCATTTCTCACGGTTCTGTCCGAGTCAGCAAGAAAGCAGATGCCAGGTGTGGGTTGTAGTCTGGTGTAGACGTTACAGCTAATGGCATAGGAAGGTACACTCGGGCCAAATGACCTGATGGTGGTCATCTATGCCGTTAGCTGTAACATCTACCACAGCCCAGATCTTTGAATCTTCTTTCCTTCTGACAGAGATCAGTGTGAAAAATAATTTATCATGTTTATTCTGAGCTATCTCGGAGGCGGACCAGTTGCCATGGTGATGACGTTTAACATAACTTTTCACATCCTCAAATCTCTACAACTGAGGTAGTGAAAGTAAAATCAGCACTAGTTATAGTCACCATAAACATTTTTAGGGGAAATACAGCAGGTAAAAAAAAAAGTCCTTTAATGCAACCAGATGAATGTAGAGTCCACAGGGTGAAACACACAGAGAAGTCACTGCACAGAAAAAACAGAAGTAGTTCAGGAAACAATGGAACATGGTCAGAACCGTTAGACGCTGTTCTCAGATTCTCAGACCACATAGGTGTAACATCCCGATCCCTCGGCGATGTGAACAGGACAGAAGGTGAGAAACCCTCGTGCAACCACAATAATACTCATAACACTTTCAGTTTCCCTTGAGGCCGACTGCACAAACATCTTTTGGTCTGTCTCTCTGCCTCCCTCGCTCGCTCACCATGCGCCCTGACAGGTGAAAGCAGCAGTGCTACGTGACCCGATACCACCTGTTTGCTGTACACAGATCAGCCATATTGATATACACAGACGTCTAGTTCCACTACTAAGGATTATTTCCATTATCAATTAATTGGCTAAATATTTTCTTGAATAATTGACTTCTGTTTTAGAGATTAAGTAAATTGATTCAAATGTCTAATCAACAGGTAAAAAATATTTTCAGTTTACCATCAGACAATGAAGAAAAGCAGCAAATCTTCACATCTGAGAAACCGAATCCACTTAAGTTTGGTCCGTTCTGCTTGATTTAAATGCAGTGATAGTTTTAGCTCCTGGTTTTGATTCGCTGAGTCAAAGCCGGTTTAGTATCAGATTTATCCAGCATTAACAACTGCTGACATCTTTGTCCAGTTAACGTGGTTACAGGTCCGTTTCCTTTTCACTGGGTTTAGCTGAGGCAGTTACACTGTTAGAGAATATTAATACAGGTAGAGTTCTTTAAGCAACAAAGATTGATGGTCGACTGAGCATTGAATTTATACGGCAACATGCACCATATCCAGCTGAAACATTACGTTAACAGCATTAATTATTATAAATGTCACCATTTTGTCTAATCATCAGTGGACTGTAAATGAATTTAGTTCCTAAACCTGTTTCTTCTAAGAAGCGCGAACATCAGATGACAGAGACAAATACTGAATTTAAGATGCATCTGATTAACAGCTGTGCTACAGGTCAACCAACTAAATTAACTTCTGAGCGAGAGATTCGGCCACAGGCATTTTGTTGACAAGACACTGTGCAAACACAGAACTGATCAGATTTGAGGCCAGATTTTCAGTTGATTGACAGATGAATGTCTTCAGAGCCGTTACCTTTAACACCAGGCTGTGTTCTCCTCCTGTTTCAGCTGGCGATGATGAGATCTCCTTTGACCCTGACGACATCATCACCAACATCGAGAAGATCGACCAGGGCTGGTGGCGCGGTGTGTGCAGAGGTGCCTATGGCCTGTTCCCGGCCAACTATGTGGAGGTCCAGCCGTGATGTCGCCGGCCCAACCAGTCTCCCTGTTCTTGTGCAGAAAGAGAAAAAGGAAAGAGACTTTGTCACATTTGGTCTTTTTTTCTCTTCATCTCATCTTAGTGCTTTGACGCTGTGTGAGACGACCTCAGGCCTCCGAGCTGGTCTTCTTCTGCTCATTTTTCCTTCCCTCCTCAATCTGTCCCATTTTCAGATCACTTTGTTTCTTTGTGTGCAGCAGTAGACAGGGAAGAAGAGTTGTCATAGAACGACTCAGTACCAAGACAGTACTTATCTTAGATCTTTGCTTTGCATCTCTGCTTTAACAGTTCAAGCTACACCATGCAGCTTCCTCAAGACCCGGGGCCACTTCCCAAGCTGTCTGCCTCCTGCCTCGCAGCCAGAACCACATTTAGCAGCTTTGTTTTCCAGAGGTTAGCAAGATGTTGATCGGGTATTACTACTTCACATATGTTAGAAAAACTCTAATCTCAGATTATTGATTGAACTGAGCTCAAAATGTCTCATGGAGTCTTGTACACAAGGCTCGCTGGCTCTCTTTAAATGTAGACAGGAGCAGTTTATCATGGGGGAATCCCCTGCTGTGGATTATGTATACTGATGCCTATACCCTGTCCAGTACATTGGCTACAGACCAAACGGCTGCACAGCAGTTGAGCTGGACTTGCTGATTCTTGTTGGAAAACTAAGCTAAGAATTAAGACATTTTCCTTTGCATCAGTCATAGGGTTGGCAACAGATCAATAATAATGCTTCCTCCTTTACTGATATTTAAATTGCAGACTCTATGTCTCAGTTCAACAGAAACACTACAGTTCATAGTATTACTTCAAGTGTCTTCATATACTCTACTGCTTAAATACTGATAATCATGTATAGACAGATGATTGTTTATGATGCTTTGAGAATGAGATTTCAAAAAAACACTTTATTCCTGTCCCTGTGGTTGTGGACAAGCATAATGTATTTGTCAAAGTGCTGAGACGCCTGCTTTGCGGCACAACTAACAACTGACATTTTTAAACCCGTGGTGATATATCGGCCCCTGTGAAGGGGACAAGGCTCTGGCATCTCTGACACTAGTTATTCCTCACTGGCGACTTGCCTGTGGAGCACAGTTGTGTATCTTAAACAGGAGCATTTGGGGGCTTTCATGAAATTCATCTTTGGGGTTTTATAATAAAAAGTGACCTTTTCAAATGCATAATTTTTATCTGTACCTGTTTGTTTGACTTACATCATTACCTGTGTGTTCTTTTTTTAAGTTTCAGTAAATAAACTATGAATTAGGCTTTTGTGTGCGTGAATTATTTTAAATGTCCTAAAGCTGTTAACATAAAAAAGCAGAGTGCAACAGACTAAGGTTCTGAACTCAGAGTAGTAATCTGAAAAAAAAGACTGTGCTCTTTGGTAACAACAAGGCACTCGTCTCAAAGTTAAAATTCCTTTAATTAAATTGGCATGTTCAAACAAAGTATAAAAAAATTAGCTCTTGGCATTTTCAGGAACTTACAATGTACACTCACCGGCCACTTTAGGTACACCTATACCACAGTACAACACTTCCACCTTAGCATCTGTGTGTATGAAACTCCACATGTTTCAGTTTTTTATTGAGGTCAGTTAAAGGTGGTGTTGTACTGGACTACATTATATACACAGGTGTCTGTTTTTGGCCTCCCCCAACTACATACAGTGGTACAGGTGTACCTAATAAAGTGGCCCTTCTGTGTACATTGTACATTATACGTTTTTTTTTTTATGACTGTCATTTTTTACTTGATCCTGAGCTGATTTTTTTTGTTCTTGGTCAAATTAACAACTTTCTCAATCAAACTTCAGTATCTACAGCAGTTATCCAGTAATATAAACATATCAGTGTAACTCTCCTGCTTGATTAGTACTTCGATCTTTAATAGTTTAGTCATATTTCTGTACTTTCAGTTTTTAGCATTAAAATTTAATTTGCATAAAAAATATTCATCGGACCTGATGCACTTCAAACGTTTAGTGGAATGTAACTACTTTGAGTAAATGTACTTAGTTACATTCCACTAAACTACTCTACTTAAAAGTACCAAAGCCTCTGTAACATTTACTGAACACTGAATCCACTATTAAAAACTATATACTGTTTGTGTAACACACAGTACAAGTATTGCTAAATGCTAAAATATTGTCATAAATTAATACAATTATAATATTGTGCATTTGTTTTTTTGCCTATTTATACAGTAATTCTCATCTACATTTCAGAGAACTACTGTACTTTTTACTTCTCTATATGTATTTTACAGTAAGTTACTTCCATTCCCACACACACCTGTGCTTATAAACTACGACGTTAAAGGTCAAACTCCACATTTCAACAGCTCCACTGAAGAACTACAGAAACAATGTGCTGTTTACAGCCACTAATAAAGAATAAGTTCAAAGGAACCATTCTTAAGGAGTACTGCTGTTAAATCCTGACCTTTTACTTGTAATCAAGCATTTTTATTTTGTGGAATTACTACTTTACCCTATAAAACCATTTGTATCATATTTGATACGTGAAGTTTCTGAGCAAAAAAAAATCGCCAAAAATGCCCCATATATCAAATGTGATACAAAAGAAATAGAAATAATCTAAATAATATGGCACCTCTATTCCTATATGCCTGGATTGTCTGTCTGTCTATGCATATATGGCAAATAAAAATTGTGAATCTTGAATTTTGAATCATGAATTATATTTTGCATTTTGTTAAATGGTTTAATAAACATCTCAGTTCCGAAAAATTAGAATGTTCTGGCTATTTTTTGATGTGTCAGGCTTTACAGGGTTAAGTAAAGAATGTGAATACCTCTTTGTTTACATGTCTGTTATATGATAAAACAAGAGATCAGAAATAACCAAACCGTCCAAAACATACAGGGAGACTTACCATAGTGCAGCGTTAGAGCAATGGAGCCGACGATGGTGGAGTCGTCTTCTGGCACATCTGTCCCAGCAGCAGCTGCTCCCCTCAATTCATCTCTGCAGACAATCCCAAAATCCAAGACCTGTTTAAAGAAACAACAGTCATTAGAGAAAGGCAATTTCAGTCCTGAGCACTGAGGTCTGGACGTCAGAGTCTAATACCAGATTCGTTTTTATTTTGAGGCCATTAGTGACGTCTGAGAAGTTTAAAAAACAAACTAAGTATCAGCCTTTACATTGCTGATCAGGATCCATTCAGCTTGTAAAGAACTGTGTGGAGATATTTATGGAGCAGGACAAAACTAACTGGCCTCTAGGGGACAGACTATGTCATGGAGCCAGTGTTTCTAAATGACCTCAGCATTTTTGTTACTCATCAGTTGAAGTGTACATCAATACTGATAAATTTATTAGGAACACCTGTCTCAAGACACATCTAATCCAACAGTGCTGCACTAAATCCTTCTTCGTGAAGGTGGAAGAATTCATTTGTGCTGCTCTTAGAGTTGGGTTGAATGAAGAGTTTCTAATATTTAACCTAACCTCAGTAATATAAACATGGTAAACAACATATCCTAAACACCCATCAGCAGCCACACTGGCAACATTTTCTTTCACAGGTCTGTAAATTCCAGTTTATTTCCAGATACCTTCCTAAGAAGCTTCCTGTAAAGAACCATATGATTTGGTTCACACTAAGCGAGCACAAACATAAGGCTTTTATTCAGAGGACAGAAGAGGAGCTACACATGCAGTGTGTGAAAGTTGTCTACAAACAACCACACACTGGCATAAAAGAAGAATAACATTTAAAATAACAAGTAAATGAATAGTAAATATTAACTGGGGTTTAAACTGAGTCATTTCTTTAATGAAAATTCATTTAGAAGGTAATAATAACACACTGGACTAACTAAAAATAAATTAGTCTCAAAACGTTGTCTCTGTTTTTGTGTACACCGTTCTTTACAGAAACTATTGGGGTTATTATTATTATTATTAGCAGACCTGTCAAATAAAGTGTTACTACTCCGGCCTCCATAGTGAAACAATCTGAACATGATCACCTTCATGGAGGAGGATTTACTACAGGACTGTTGGATGAGCCTGACTTAGGTGTTCCTAATAAAGTGATCAATGAGTGTATGTCTTCAGAATATGAGAATATTCTAGTGTACACACATACACATACACACACACACAGTGTGGGGAAAAGAGACTGTGAAGTATCAAAAAACAAACAGCACATAAAAACCGTGAACTTTGAACTAAAGGGCCGAGATTTCACTGACTGAGAACAGAGAACTTCCAATTAAAGACTCGTGTGTTTTCCCTACGGTTTAGTTTTACTACATTTTCTCTCCACCTTTAGACTGTCAGCTACTTTCTGTTGACGTATTATTTTCTTGAAAGTGTGCATAATTAGAAGAATACAGGCAGATATGAACATGAACAAGAGTTGTTCCAGATTCAAAACTGTTTTGTCAAATGTTTACAAAAAACAAATCCTTATGTCTCATACTGGAACTACTTGTAATGAGGTCTGTGCTTTGCACTTGTACTTTGTTTAATTCTAGTCAATAACATGTTACAATCAGGCTTGCTCCCGAGCAGCAACGCCATTGTGATCTGTACCTGAATTCTTGGACAGACAACTACGGCAAGTTATAATTAGAAAGCTCCAAGCCTCACGAGTCAACTACGTGGGGAATTTTAGAGTCCTTGTACAACTGCAACAGCTGTTTTCGTTTTACCAGCAATATAAATCACACACAACAGAACAGTCGCTTCCTACCTGTGTCTCGGTCGTTTGGTGGCAAGTGGCCATAGCTGGACGCCGTTCTCAGCCACAGGATTCCAGTGAACAGAATCCTCCCAACGATTAACCCAGCAATCATACTGTGGTGGAGCAAGAGTCCAAAAGCCGGAGTAGTTCGGCTTGGGG